CCCCCCCCCCCTTGCACCAGCTTCTACAACCCCCTCCCACCCTATACATCTCCTGGTAACAACCCTGAAATTTACTGTCCTAGTCCAGAGGATACCTGGTTTTTCATTCCTTCATAAAGCTATCCTTAATTTGATAAGCAAAAAGGTACCATGGCTTGGTCATTTCTTCTGACTTCACTCTCATGAGAAAAGCACCATGTATGTGTACATATGAAATTAATAATTGTTTGTGCTTCTCTCTTGTCAGTCAGCTCTTGTATTCATTGGGTTCCTAGATCCAGCCAAAGAGCCCACCTAATAACTAATAAGGCGGCTGGAGAAGATCTCCCTGCTTCCAGTGGAGGATCTGGTTTTGAACCAGAATCATTACTAAGGATAGAATATCCTATGGATAAATGCATCATTCCTTATTGAGACTTGGGGGAGAAGGATGAATTACTTTCAGTAAAATTCCTATTTTACTGGCACTGAAACTCACAGTGCTTAGCGCAGTAACCTCCAGACTACTGACATACTTTATAATAGGGAGTGTTTTATGGCCACAGTTGGCCAGGTGGGGATCATCATGTGGTGTCACTGCTTGCACAAGACCCGGCTGACTTTCAGTGGTTGATTCCATTTTTGTAATCTCCATGTTTCATGAGCTTACAAAAGGCCACCTGGAAAACACATGCTGCCTGTTGTCTAAAAACTTTCTACTGACTGCACAGCAAGGGAAACCACCAACAGAACAAAAAGACAACCTACAGATGGGGAAAAAAATGCTGTCAGCTACTCCTCAAAGGGCTAATATCTAGAATATATAAAGAACTGAAAAAAATCAGTTAAAGTGCAAATTTAAAGACCCAATTAAAAAAGGGCATCTGAAATGAACCGCCATTTCTCAGATGAAGAAATACAAACGGCCAAGTACATGAAAAAATATTCAACATGGCCAGCCATTCAAGGAATGCAGATGAAAACAACACTGAGAGTTCATCTCACTCCAGAAAGAATGGCTGCCTACCATCAGGAAGTCAACCAATAACATGCTGGTGAGATTATGGGGAGAAAAGAGCCCTTCTCCACTGCTGGTGGGACTGTAAACTGATACAACCACTATGGAAATCAGTATGGAGATTCCTCAAAAAAACCAAAAGTTTAAATTCCATTGCCCCCCCCCCCCGTGCCCCTTCTCAGTATTTTCCCAAGAGTTAAAGACAAACATCTGTGATGTGTGCACACCCATGTTTATAGCAGTACAATTCATAACAGCTAAATCTTGGAAACGGCCTATATGTCTATCACCAGATGAATGGATTAAAATGTATTTATGGGGCTGGGGATTTAGCTCAGTGGCACTACACCTGCCTTGCAAGTGCAAGGTCCTGAGTTCAATCCCCAGTACCAAAAAATGTATTTATACACCATGGAATACTAATCTGAATAAAAAGGATAAACGAGTCATTTGTAGGAAAATGGACACACCTTGAGACCATAATGTTAAGTGAAATCAGACAAGCTTAAATATCACATGGTTTCTCATATGAAATACTTAATATATATATAAAGTATGAAATAAGACAGATAATAGGAAAAAAAGAGAAAAGGTATTGTCATCCAGTGTGGACAACATATCTAAACGTGTACTTTGAGTTAGTACAGTTGTCTTACATGTTTTGTATATTCTTTGGCCTATTAGTCTGGTTTTCAATCTGTATACATATATGATAATCAATTTTATAAGGGCGTATAAATACATGAATCTGATGCTGGAAAAATAAAAGGGAGGTGGAGGGAGAGGCCAAAAGAAGGGTGTGGAAATGTGTTACACACAGGTGCCAATCATTAGACACTGCAAACATGCACTAATAAATGTCGGGGGAAAGTTACGCAAATAAAAGCAAAGTCATCAAGCAAAAAACAAAAACAAAACAAGAAAACCTTTTCCATTGACACCTTCAGGTAAGCTCAAGAAAGTCCCTGCATCAAAATTTGTAGAATAGGTGCAGTAGCTCACGAGCAAGCAGCAGGGCACTCTCCTTAAGAGACTCGGCATTTTCAAGAAGTAGTAAGGAAGGACACAGAGGACACTTCTGTGTGAAAGAACAGACTTCCAAGACTGAATTGAAAAAGTATTCATAAAAATAATTCTGAATGTGAAGAAATTATAAGAATCCCTTAATAAATGTACTTTTGCTGATTTTTTTTGTATGTGCACAAGAATGGTGTATAACAAATGCATGACTGAGATACTCATTCCGTAAATATTTCAAAATTAGAATTGAGGGCCGGAGATTTAGCGCAGTGGTTCCGCCGCCTGTCTCGCAAGCACAAGGTCCAGAGTTCGATTCCCTGTACCAAAAACTCAAAAACAAAAAATTGGTGAAAGCATGACACAGTTTAACTGAGGGTATCTTCGTCCTAACAGCAGCTCCAGCCTCTTGGCCGAGGCTCAGGTCGGGCTCGGAGGGTCGGCGGACACTCAGCCTGCAGGGTAACACGCAGGGCGGGCCAGTGACCCGCCGCCGTCCCTTCCCGCACCGCACACAGGGAGGAGGCCAGGACTTGCGGCGGAGGAGAGAAAAGCGGCTTCCTCCACGGATCCGAGCCGGCTGGCTTTCACTCGGGGACCGTCAAGCAAGCCCAAGGTGTCCGGGAGGC